TTGGTAGTCTGAATTGCTTGTGGATGGCCCATGTCATTTAGGGCAAAGCACTAAACCCTACACCATCCACCCCTTACACCATCCACCCCTTACACCATCCACCCCTTACACCATCCACCCCTACACCATCTACCCCTTACACCATCCATCCCTTACACTATCCACCCCTACACCATCCACCCCTACACCATCCATCCCTACACCATCCATCCCTACACTATCCATTCTATGACCTACAGCCCACACGTGGAGGACACTGCATTGTCCCCCTTCCCTGCACTGAGCAGACCACAGACCCTCAGTTACCCACTCACGTCATGGGGCTGAGGAAGGGGAAACTGGATCAGGAAAGCCTAAACCAGCTCCTCCAGCACAAGAATGTCAGCTCAGACCAGAAACCATGGACCCTCGGGCCTTTTTCTCCCTGTAGCAGCTTTTAGCTGCACTGACGCAGGCTGTAAATAGCAGTGTCCTTTTATCCCCCAAAAGCCAGCCTGCTGCCCCACTACCCTCCTAAGACTACCCACCATCCTCTGGCCTCCCCAGCTGCCTTCCAAGCAGCAGAGGTGCCCCTTGGCCAGGCACAGGCAGGGCCAAGCTGTTCATTAGTGATGCCCCCTCCCCAATCACCGTGTAAAACTCGAAGCAGAACCAAGCAGCTTTAGGGCTGCTCCTTTCATGCACTGGTGTGACCCGCACAACCCAGCCCCTGGTGATCGCCTGCATCTCTCAGTGCCTTCAAAGCGGCTCTTGATTGATGCGTTTCCCTGACTCACAAGCTTCAAGAGGCTTTGAAGACACTGGGCCCGGCTCTGATCTCTCTCGGGCTGATGCAAATCAGGAGCAATGGTGCTGACAACAGTGCAATAATCCACACTGATGTCAAGCCAGTAAAAATAAGAGGAGAAGCAGAGGTTTGGTCTTTCCTCTGCCTTGAAGGGATCTGAGCAGCGCTGCGAAGCAGAGAGCTGCAAGCCCTGCAAAGCAAAGTCGGTGTAAAGCAAAGGGCACGCAACGCGGTACCAGGGCACTTGTCCTCCCCTGCAGCTAAGGAGGAGATGGGGTTTATGCTGTGTATTTGCTTTTTTACAGTTAGGAAAATTAAGACTTCAATGAGAAATACAAGCTCCCAGCCTATGGCACTGTCACAGCCAGGATTAGGCTTTGGGAAAGCCCCAGTGCTGCTGGGTTCAACCTGGGAGGCACATATGGATGTATTCCCACTTCTCATCTGAAACTGGCTGATGGCACAAGAGCTGCACCTGGGTAACACTGATTCAGGGCTGTGAGGAGCATGGGCTGCTCCAGGGCAAACCAGGCTGTGGGAGACGAGAGCTGTGGATGTAAGGGGTCTGGAGCACCTCCCGTATGGAGACGGGCTGAGAAAGTTGGGGCTCTTCAGCCTGGAGAAGAGAAGCTGCGTGGAGACCTCAGAGCAGCTTCCAGTGTCTGAAGGGGGCTACAAGGATGCTGGAGAGGTCCTTCATCAGGGACTGAGTGATAGGACAAGGGGTGATGGGTTCATACTGAAACAGGGAAGGTCTGGTTAGG